GTTATTCAAACCCACACATACATAGCCCTTGGCTTACAAATAGGATCACAGGAAAGGAGAACTTTAGTGCTCTCAACACACACATTTCCCTGCCCTCAATTAAGCAGATTCACCACGTCTTTTCCTACACAAAAATCCGGTAGGGTGAGCATAAAGCCCAGTAGGAAAGTATATACATTTTATACATGTCTCAAGAGATGAATGCACATGCCATGCCATGCCTTTTTGAAAATAAAAGACATCCTCATCTTTTGAAAGCCATCATGCTCAATGATGTTATGCAACTTCAACTGTTCAAAATTTATTAATTTAATTCAAGGGCGGTAAATGCAACTCTGGTAATCCCTAGGTCGGTATCTGCAAGTAGACTATACGAGTACTACCAATTGTCATTTTTACCGATATTAACCGGAAGGCTAGACACCTATCCGCGTGATTTTCTGGTCTTTCACCAAGGACACTCAGGCCAACTTAAACAATTTCATCTACACTACCTATCAAGACTTACCACCATATTTACCCCAAAACCAATTCATGAAAACCCATTACCCAACATTCTTTTCTCAATGCAAATTTCCAGAGCTTAACATAGTCCAATGAATTGAAATGCCAATGTATGATTAAAAATGCAATGCGACATTACTTCCATATTCAATTGTTTCACACAATATACCATTGTGATCAAAATTCCCAATCCTCTTTTCAACACAATTCCACAAGATAAATATATATGTATATATATATACTTTTACATCCAAATTCATTCAAGAGAATAACGTAATTCCTACATTTCGAGCAATCTCAACAATTTAGTCAATTCAAGACTAAATCAACGTTTTGACAACAATTTCCAAAATAAACAATATTTCTCATTTTGTTCACAAAATTTGTCATTTATATATAAACAAACAATGTTCAGAACATCCATTTATTTTGATATACAAAATAAATATGACAACATTTTCCAAGGATTTTCATCATCTTTCAAAAAGACCCAATTTCTAAGTTTTCTCACCAAAACCATTCATCTCCAAAATATTTAGAAGAATCTCCCCAAAATCATCTTTCTTCAATCAATATGGTTCAAAACCCTCAATTTCTATTTTAAAAGGAAAAGAAAATAAACCCTCTTTCAAAATCACTCATCTTTTTGTAATCAACAATCAATTTCTCAAAGCTAATCAAAGGATGATTTCAAAAATCATCTAGATCTTGCAAAAACATATATATAACTCAAAGGAAATCCCTACCTCAAGTTTGAAGAAGAAACGAGTTAAAAACCCCAAAATCAACGACGATGAAATTCGATCTCCACCGCACACAACGTAGCCCTCACCTAGATAACCAACTTTGATGAAGAACTTGGATCTAAATCCCAATAGATTTGGAGAAATCAAAGATCTTGTGAGGTTTTTGGTAGGAAATGTAGAGAGAAGGAAGAGGCAATGTTTCTAGAGATATATATATATATATACAAAAAGTGACATTCAATCAGCCCAAAGAGAGAAGAAAATAGCAAAATTCGGATCTACCTAACTTCCCGCACCTTAGTCCCGCACCTACCTTTTTAGTAATGTGCAAGCTGTGCCCTCCCCTGAAATCCGTACGTGTGGCTTGCTCTCCCGCTCGAGCGGACCAGCAACTTCGAATGCATTTTGCATTTTTGTTTTGGATAGCTCGACTCCCGACCAGCCCAGTCGAAGTGGCAAAACATGAAAGAAGGATCGAAACCGGGATCGCTACAACCTTTCCCCCTTAAAGAATTTTGTCCCCGAAATTTCAAATCAAACTACCCAAACAAAGGGGTTTCTAGCAATCAAAGCCACGCTATTTCATTTTCGAATCACAATACTAACTCTCAACCAAATTCCACCATTTCCACCATGGTTATCTCATTAACAACAACCTCCCAAATATGCATAAACATGAAATTTTTCCAAAAGTAATGGCAACTCTAAGCAACCTTATGCTTAAAATAACAACGCACATATCAACATGTGGTTAACAACTTTAAATACCTTTTCTCCATCACTAGGGAATATTACAAAGAAAAGCAACTTAAGCATTTATAAATAAATCCAGATATTTGGAGAGGACTTCCGCCTCCTGTTCCCACGCCGCTTCTTCAACCCCATGGTGTCTCCACGACACCTTTACCAACGATATAGTTTTGCCCCATAGCACTTGCTCCCGGGTATCTAATATTTGAACCGGTTGTTCTTCGTAAGAGGCATCCTTATCTACCTCCAAGTCAACCCAATCAAGGACATACTTCCTAAGCATAGATACATGAAATACATTGTGAACTCCCGAAAGTTGTGGCGGTAAACCTAACCGGTATGCCACTTCCCTAATTCACTCTAAGATCTCAAAAGGCCCAATGAACCTTGGAGATAATTTACCACTCTTACCAAATCTCATCAAACCCCGCCTTGGTGAAATTTTTAGAAACACATGGTCACCATCTTCAAAAGATAAAGGTCATCTCCTCTTATCGGCATAACTCTTTTGTCAGCTTTGGGCCGTAGCTAACATCTTCTGAATGAGAACAACTTTCTCGGTTGTCTCTCTAACAATTTCCAGACCCAGTAATGGTGCATCACCCACTTCGGCCCAACAAACCAGTGATATACAAGGTCGACCATATAAGGCCTCAAATGGTGCTATCCCAATACTAGCTTGGTAACTATTGATGTAAGAAAACTCAATCAATGGTAAGTGCCTTTCCCAAGGCCCCTTAAAATCAAGGACACAAGCTCTAAGCATGTCCTCCAAAATCTGAATGGTACGTTCCGACTGTCCATCGGTTTGAGGATGATAAGCGGGGCTAAGAGTCAACTTAGTTCGCAACGCCTCTTAAAGGCTTTTCCATAACCGGACAATAAAACGAGGATCCCTATCCGACATAATAGTCACAGGGACTCCATGAAGTCGAACTATCTCTCTAATGTACAACTCTGCCAAGCGTTCAATTGAGTCACTGGTGCACATCGGAATGAAATGGGTAGACTTAGTCAACCTATCAACAATCACCCAAACAGCGTCATTGCCTCGTTGTGTTCTAGGAAGCCCAACTACAAAATCCATGGTAACACGCTCCCATTTCCACTCAGCTATTGGTAAGGGTTGTAACAAACCTGCTGGTCTTTGGTGTCCGGCCTTCACTTGTTGACAAGTAAGGCACTTTGATACAAATAAAGCGACATCCCGTTTCATTCCCCTCCACCAAAGTTGACGACTAAGATCATGATACATTTTAGCGCCTCCCGGGTGTACCGCAAGGCGTGAGTGATGGAACTCCCGAAGTACTTCATCTCTACAAGATTCTAGTACAAACAAACAGTCTAGGTAATGTACACTCAGATTCGAGTGAACATTCAAACCTTTCTCTTCCTTCCCATTGGAAATCTTAACATGGATTGATTCCACATCATGGTCTCCTCGTTGTGCCTCTCTGACCTTACTAACCAAGATAGGTTGAGCATTCAAAGTAAACAAGGTAGCACTCTCTCCGGACTCACCCAAGTGCAAATCAAACTTGCCAATAACATCTAGCATATCCCATTCCCGAATGGCCACACTTGCCAAACTATTCATAGATTTTCGACTCAAAGCATCGGCCACCACATTGGCCTTCTCTGGATGATAGTGTAACTCAAAGTCATAATCCTCCATAAATTTCATCCACCTCCATTGTCATAAATTCAAGTCTTTTTGAGAAAACAAATACTTTACACTCTTATGATCGGAGAAGACTTCAAACTTCTCACCGTATAAGTAATGCCTTCAAATTTTCAAAGCAAAAATCACCGCTGTTAATTCTAGATCATGGGTGGGGTAATTTTTCTCGTGAGTTTTCAATTGTCGTGATCCATAGGCCACAACTTTTCCCTCTTGCATCAAGACACAACCAAGTCCATCCCCGGACGCATCACAATAGACAGTGTAATTCAAACCCCTTTCTGGAATTATCAAAACTGGTGCGATAGTCAATCTAGTCTTAAGCTCTTGAAATGACTTTTCACAAGCCTCACTCCATACAAATTTGATACCCTTTCTAGTCAACCTAGTCAAAGGTGCAGCTAGTCTAGAGAAGTCCCTCTTTGACATTCACATAAACACAAACCCTAGGCCACCATTCAAAATCACCACCACCAAAAATGTCTCACACCATGGTCGTGTCGCTCTGTTTCCCCACTGTGAGGTCGGCGGCGAACTAGCCAAAGCAGAGAGCAAACACGAAGAAGGCGCTAACACGAAACGAAACAGGAGTAGCGGCGGAGCAGCAATGGGTTTGGCGGAGAGAGGAAGGATGTTCGGTGGTAGTGTGTCGAGCCGCCTACACTCTACCATTGCTAATCCTCTCAATCTCAGACCTCTTGCATCAGATAAACACGCTCTCTCTCTCTCGTTTCCCCAAATTCAAACCCTAACTATAATTTTCAACTTCTCAGATCTTTGCCCCTTCATTGTCCAACCTCACCATCTCGTTTTTCAAAAAACATTTCAATTTCGTTATTGGTATTGGTGGCATGGTGTTCTCTCTCTCTCTCTCTCTCTCTCTCTCTCTCTCTATATATATATATATATATAGTGTGTGTGTGTGTGTGTGTGCGCGTTTGTGCTTGTGTGTTTGGTCTATCCTTACCAGGTACATATATAGTGTGTGCTTGTGTGTTTGGCCTCTCCTTACCAAGTATTGATGAACTCTACATCTATATATATATACACACACGCAATAGAGTGTTTGTATGTATCAATGATAGTAGTCATATGGTCTCTCCTTAGTGTTTGGCATGCCTATAAGGTGTTTGTTTTTTGGTCTATGTTAAAATGTTTGGAGGAAAGAAAGAAAGAAAACCGCATTGAATATCTAATTTACGATCTCTATCTCTTTTTGGGTAGGGAAGGGAAAAAGGAAGTCATGGAATTTGATCCTGTCGGCGTTGATGTGGTTGGTTTGGGGTGAAAGGAACCAACCAAAAAATGGAACAAAAAATATGTCGAAGGCTGGAGACAAGAAAGCAAAGACTTCTAAAGTAGCAAGGGAAGCTTCTCTGGATCCTCTGGCACAGAAGCTCCAACAACAAAGGTGATGGTTTGTTTCCTGTTTGGCTTAAGAAAAAGAAGTTGCAATACATCACATTCATATAACATAGTTTAACAATATTAATTACAATATGTTGCATTCTTTCCTTAAGTAGTAAAAACAATGCTTAAAAAATTCATTATATAGTTATGTCAACTATTAGGAACAGCAGTTTGATTTTGTCTTTCCAGATCCATTGCATGGGGGACAATTTATGTAGTTATGCTTAAATAATTCATTTATGTAGTCGTGTCTTAATATTTTTATTTCCTTTTTTCTTAGTATTGCAATAAATCAAGGCCAAGGTTCTGATTCTGTAGTGCTTAAATGGTCTTTGTTATATATCATGAGATCCCAATCGTACATGTTTATCAAATTCAGTTTGGATTTCAAATGAAATTCTGAATTTTTTTTGGTATGATGTTGACTGTTCCGTTAAGTTTATCACATAGTGCTTCTTGCATATGAATTGTGCACTTGAAATATTAGTTTGGTAATTGTTATATTTAACAAGTACTTAAATCGGTTCTAGCAATTTAGCATCTTTGTACATCTTTTATATAAACAACATCACATGGAGCCACTTGCTGACAGATTGTGAACTCGAAATGTTCTCCTGGAATTCATTATTGGGAATTATTTTGTTTGGTTTTAGCCATTGATAATTCTTAATTGTTCTTTTATGTTAATGAGTTGCTGATAGATTATGAACTCGAAATGTTCTCCTGGAATTCGTTATTGGGAATTATTTTGTTTGGTGTTAGCCATTGATAATTCTTAATTGTTCTTTTATGTTAATGAGTTGCAACAATGCTTACACTATTATGTAAATCATTGTTTTCTTTGTCAGTTCATGTTTCTGAACTCCATTATTTTGAGCAGTAGTGTGTTTTTGTACGTCCACATAATGTTGCCATTTTTATTTCTTCTTCATTCATTTCTGTTTTCTCGAGTTTGGAAGTTGAGAAGTCTAAATTTTCCGTGGTTCGCATTATTTCTTGTAACAATGTACCTAATGTTTTGTACCATTGCTTCTCTTATTGCAGAATTGCTGACGAGGGCGATCCTAAATCTAGTGAAGAACTATTTACAGAGAGTGAGAAGTCCCTTGACAACTTAATTCCCATGTCTGAAACTGACTTCTTAGAATATGCTAACCTCATTTCTCAAAAATTGCACCAATATGAGGTATCTTTAATTCCCAAGTTAGGGCCGACCCTGAATGTGATATAATCTAACTGAAAAGTACATGATAGAATATCTCTAAGGTAAAAGATCATTTAAATTATATAGAGCATTCAAGAACCTTATTTTTTAGTTTGTTTCTCTGAAAAGTACTTTTTAAATGGCAAGTTGGCAATCCAATGATGGCAACTGTCTTGGTTTACTATTTTTTGTTGTTGTTGTTGTTGTTGTTGTTGTTGTTGTTGTTGGTTTCCTTCCATTTTTATTTTATTTTCTTTTATTATTATTTATTTCTAGGCTTGTTTTAGCATTGATTTTACTTTTGTTGTTATCAATTATCATTGAAAAAATTCCTTTTAGCAATGATTTTACTTTTGTTGTCATGACTGTATTGTCAATCATGGGCCTCTGAATTAGATGGAAGACTCTATGAGGTAATTCAGTTAAAGGGGATATCAAACACTCTGTGATTACTGTATTAGTTTGTTATACTATTTGAATTAAGTGGAAAGGGAATATAATGCAACAAGACTACGTCTTGGTTTTAACAACATTGACTTCTATGATTTATGAGTGTCTTTTGCGTTTGTGCATACTTACATCTAAGCCCAACTGATGAGTTGTACAGAATACTGGGGAATGTGTAAAGTTTACGGATTTATGTTTGATCTGAAATTTGTAATTCTGGTAATTTGACATTTGTGTAGATTTTCCCTTCAATAACTAAGTAAATTGTGCATTTGATGGCATGACCTTCATTAAGGCTTGCCATTCGTAGGATGGATTTTTGTTTGATGGCTATCTTAACTTTACGTATTTTTTTTATGATTTGAATTTTTTAATTTTTTAAGATTAGGGTGATGTGGGAATTCGTCAAAGCATGGGCAATTAAGCTTTTTCTTCTCTCAAGCTTCAATGGTGCCACTTATAGTCTTTTGTGCTTGTTTGAAGTTTCAATATTAGATTGACCTCTTCAAATACAAAACATGGTTAGATATGAAATATAAATAATTTTATGCTTATATTTTTGACAAATTTAATTTGGGGATAGCAATTTTTGAGTATACTATACTTGATTGACAGGGAGTGCACTTGCGTGTTGTGGGAGTATGTGATATTAAATCATTACTTGTTGTATCAGATGTGCTCACAACGGAGTTGGATAATACCTCTCTGACAGAAGTTTGCCAGGTCAAGTTGAAAGGCTCTTCTCTACTGACACTTGGTAATTCAGGTAATTCCATTTTGTTTTGTTTTTTGATTTTTGCTTTTTCTTAATATATAATTAAAAATAAATAAATAGCAATGAGTAAGGAATACTATTTTATGGCTTCTTTTATTTAGGCTTACAGAAAGAATTATTTGAAGAATAAATTTTTGTCTGATCTTTGACCTTTTCTTATATGTATATGTAATTGGTGTTTTATAAATGATATATTAGCATACTAACAACAAAAAATTGAAAAGGCTCAAACTAGTGCTATTGGCTTATCAAAGCCAATCAACATGCTTACACTTCTTGTTATTGTCGGGTACTTGTGTAGGTCAATGCAAGGTATTTTCAAACCCTGAAGCTATGGGAAAAATCATCGATGTTGCAACTCTTCTGGGTAGATCTATAGGTTTGTACACATTTGAGCTGTAATGTTGGTTCTCTTGTTGTGCATTTGAACGTTACCAAACTTTTAGAGATGGTGTTGCATAAGGTGGTGACATAGCAGTTTATCTTCCCAGCATTTGTTCTGTTTACTATCCCATGTGAACTTAAAAAAGAAGTGCCAGCATTCAACTTTGTCTCCATATATCTTGAGCTAGAGTTTGTACATCATAATTTCAGCCTCAGATCAGTCTGGAATGATTGCAAGAAATAATTGTTGCAACAGGTTTGGCATTCATTGATTGCTCTACCAGTTCTGAGCCTATTGGAGTGCTAAACCGAGTGGTAGATTTGGGTTGTTGTGTTGTGATGGCCAATAAGAAGCCTCTTACTTCTTCAATGGTAACTAATCCTTTTATGCATTTCTTACGCACCCTAGTTTGTTAATGGATGCCTTTTGATGTTTCTGTTTGTGATAAAGGTAATGATAGTATGTGGTTGTTGTTTGATTGTTCTGCTTACCATGACAAATTGTGGGGAAAATTTTCGTATAATATTTCATCTGCTTTCTGTTGTCTGAAGAAAAGTTATTTTTTGTCTGGATTGCAGGAAGATTATGGTAAGTTGCTTGCATATCCACGTCGCATTCGACACGAGTCAACTGTGAGTGTTCTTTTTACTTGGTTGGTGCAGATAGAAGTGCTTTTACACCTGGAACATAGATAACATATGAATGTGATGGTCGGAGACTATTGTGCAATAGTGAGTGGACAGATGATTATGACTTGCAGATCAAAACTGAAATTTTTGCTAATCTCTTCTTTGTCTTTTAGAGCTAATATTCAAGACTGAAATTGTGATTCAGTTGATGAAATTATACTAAATTGAAATACATTGTTGCATTCTTTCACATATTACTGCAATTACGAACTAGTTAAGATGTATAAAGTCTCTTAATGTAGGTTTAAATATTTCAGCTTGTATGCTTTCTATTTGATGTAGAGATGGGTCTGCCAATATTAGCATTCAACCAGTTATGACTTATGAATGTCTTCCACACACTGTTTTTAATCGGTTTGTAATAAATTGGAAGTGGTTTTGGTGGTACTTGGAAGACACTGTTTGTAATAAATTGGAAACCTCTTTACGGAGTCTTGTTTTTAATATAAACTCTTCTAAATAGTTTTGGCCAATTAGTTGTTTCATTTGGGAAAAACCATTTATCTTGAGTAGATCTTGCTCCCTAAACCTGCTTTTGCTTCTCCTATAACTATAAAAATTTCATTGTTTCTGTTAGTTTTTGTTTATAAAAATTGAGCTTGATAGGATTAATCATTTATAGTCTGCATAATTTCATGCTGTGATATTTAATAAAAAATAATAATTTCATGCTATGACAACTGGCAGGTTGGTGCTGGCCTCCCTGTTATAGCATCCTTAAATCGTATACTTTCATCTGGAGATCCCGTGCACCATATCATTGGGAGCTTAAGTGGTATAGCATTTATTTTTATTTTATTTTATTTTATTTTTTTTGAAATGTCTTATTTCTTCTTCACACTTGCTTGCATATATCGAACATGCTTTGTTTTTTAAGTTGTAATTTTATCATTTTGTTTCATATCCTTGTATGTGAATAGGTACGATGGGTTATGTAATGAGCGAGGTAGAAGATAGAAAGCCATTCAGCCAAGTTGTCAAATCTGCTAAAAGCCTTGGTTACTCTGAACCAGGTTTAATAATTTATGGTGTTACCATTTTAATAAATCAGTTTAGCTGAATTCTAGGATTCTTCTTGGTATAGAAAAACCATATCTAAATAATTAGTGATATGGGTCCAAATCGACAATTATAAGGTCTTTTTTACGTTGACTGTTTGTCTAAAATGCCTATGGCATTTTATTAGTATTAGATTAATGAATTTATTTGTTTCTTAAACTTTTTGACAGAAAGCATATATTTTGTAAGAATTTTGCGTTATACATTACTTTGATATCTATATATGATGCTTGGTCATTTCTTGTTTGTTTGTTTGTTTCTTGAAATTTTTGTTCTCTATTGAAGTGAAGGCACGAAAAGGACAAATCACAGCTCATTTATATGACAAAGAGTCTTGAATTTTGTTCACAAATAGTATATAATTCTTCTCCCAATTTTACAACAAGAGAAAATTACATCTTTGTAAGAATTCCCTTCATTCTGCATCTGATCATAAGCACATATTCAAGATCACCTCATTTTTCTATTGCCCTTCATTCATATCATATCTGGTAGGTAGGGTAGTAGAATGGATGAATATACTTCCCCTTGATGTCTTGGGAAAGAGAACGGAAAGGAGGCACAAATGTGATGCCACCTTATTTTTGTGAACTGCAAATTTATATTTTTTTTTGGTACACGTTAATCTTTTGTGTGTGATTACTTAGATTAGGGGCCTTGATCATCAGTGCTGATTGAATGTCTGCTCAAGCTGCTCATCTACAACCCAAAGTTTAATCTAAAGCTAAGACCATCAGAATCATTCATGTTTTAATTAATCTGTGGTATTATTCGTTAAAATAAACTTTACCAACTTTATTAAAAAATCATATATAAAAGTGAACTGAATCAATGGAGCTTTGATAGTTAACTATGCCTGTATTTGTTATGGTTGTTAGCTTATTAATCATCGTGTACTGAAATTTGTAGGTACAGCAATAGGTACAGTTTTATTATGCCAGGTAGTTGTCTCAATACGATGTACATGTTTATAGGATTTAATTGATTTTTGCAAAGATACGGGTTTGCAATCCAGTGTTGCTGCCACTATCATGCTTCTCTGATAAATTTTCCAATTCTGTTTCTTTATTAGGTGCCTTACATCACTACTGCTTTGATGAATGCGCAGCTTGGCATGGAAGGGCGCAAGGATCTTTTTGATTGGCTATCAAGGCAACTTAGTGGATTAAGCAATTTTCCTGATGTTGTAAATCTGAATTATGTATTGTTTCAATTTGTTATGCTAGATGGATGTGACTTGTGAATGAAAACTTAGAATACTTGTATTGTGTCGAATGTTAATGATTCAGTTAATTTGAAAGATGCTTTAAAATTTTAGGTTTATTATGGATTGAATGAATTATTAGGAATTACAGGTGCATTGTTTTCCTGTTTTGGTGATCAATTTATTAGTCGCGACAAATAAATTATTTTTTTCACAAAAAATGACAATTGCCGACCAAGAGTTTTGGTCATAAAAAATACATCTATTATCGACCAAAACAGCTCTTGGTCGTGGAAACTCACTTTTGCCGACCAAAAATTTTGGTCGCGAAAAGTAACAAATGGCGAAAGTTTTGGTCGCGAAAAGACACAAATGGCGACCAATTTTTTTGGTCGCGAAATGTGATAATTGGTGACCAAAACCAAAAAATTTGGTCGTGAAATGTAATAATTGGCGACCAAACTCGCGGAATGTCACCATTGGCGACCAAACTTTTTGGTCCTTGAATGTGATAATTGGCGACCAAACTTTTTGGTCGGGAAAATATCACTTTTCGCGACCAAAGTGTTTTGGCGACAAAATAAATTAGTCACAGTAATTAAATATTTAGAGACCAAAAATTTAGTCGCGAAATCCAACTTTTGTCGACCAACCACAATTTTGGTCGCGAATTAGTTTTGTCGACCCTCAATTGGCGACTAAAGTAGCGACCAAAAAAATTGGTCGCAGATAACTTTTGCTGACCAAAAATTGACTTTTAGCGACCAATTTTTTTGCTGCCAAAAGTGTTAATTCTTGTAGTGGGACTGATATTTTCCACCAAGGCCAAGCTCCTTTTATCTACCATTGTCACCACCACAGGTTCGGGTTAAAGTGTAGACATGTTCATCATGCACAAGTCTGTGCTCTCAGGGATGAACAACACCGGTTTAGGCAGGTGGAAAGGGGTGATATATATACTGGGGTCATAAGGGACGGCCAGTGTGTGGATGAGGTTTATATGCCTGGGTGGAGGGACTTGGTTATGTGGTAAGAGAGGATTTATAGTGACATTGGGTTTTTGGGGAGGTGCTATCACCTTATTGTCGATGAGATCTTGAATCTCACGACGCAGCCTATCACATTGATCAGTGTTATGACCGTGCTGCTGTTGAAAAACACAGTATTTGGCCAGGTTGTGCTTTGGAGGAAGAGGATCAGGTAGAGGGCAAGGCTTTAGTGGCTTAAGATGCCCCTTTTTTATCAGGACCCCTAGGGCTTTGGATAAAGACATGTAGAGCTGGGGTAAAGATCCTTTGAGATCGGGCCTGGCTGGTTGAGGTTTATGGAGTTGTGTTGGATGTATTAGCAAAAGGGCTGGCAGTTTTGGGTGTGGTGGTGACCATACTCACATCCGAAGGCCGTGCAGAGGTGCTACTAGTTGTGGTTGCATTGGAACTGCATGTAAAAGGACTCTTGTGTTGTTCCTTCTGATCAACTATCAGCCCCTATTTCATCGCATCTTCGATTTGAACCCCTATCTCGTGGAGCATAGCGAATGTAAACAAAGGCATGACTATCATCTTCTATAATAATCTCCCTTGCAGGTTGTGGACCACCATTCTGATTTGATCCTTCTCAGATGGCCTGATAGTCATCATCGAGGCCTTAGTCCTCCATCGAGTGACAAAGTCCGAAAAGCCCTCCTTTGGCTCCTGGCGGGTCGCTTCAAGATCAGGGGTTGTGACCTCGATCTGGGTATTGTAGAAGTACTGTATGATGAAGGCCTCAGCCATTTCCTCCCAACTTCATTTTACTGAGTCTTCCAATTTTAAATACCAGATGGTCGTTATACCCGATAGGGTCCAACTAAAAAGCGACAGCTTCTGAAGTCTAGTAAGACCCATTGGTCGCAGGATACCATAGAATAACCACAAATGCCGATAGGATCCCCAGAGCCGTCGAATCGGTCTATGTGCGGCATCTTGAATCTATCCGGTAGAGTTACTACAGAGTCTGTGTATCCATCTTCAATGTCAGGGATTGAATTCATGCCCTGTGCCCGTTTAAAAAGCTTTTCTAGCTTGCTGACTTTCAATGCAGTGGTGTCGACCTTGAATTCAAATGGCGCCTCCGTTTGGTACACTGGTGCCTTGGAGGTCTGAGATGGGATCGGATCTACCGGAATGCCTAGATTCTTTTGGACATTGACAGTGACTCCGGGTGCTAGAATACCTGTTGGAGGTGCAAGGGAAGCAGAAGCCGCTACTTACGGTGGCTGCTGTTGCTGGAGCCTATTTATTACCTCTGCTTGGCGGGCTATAACCTCAGCTTGGCGGACAGCATCTAGCTGCATGGTTTCTATGGTCTGCTGGAGATGACGAAGCATGTCTTCCATGCTAACCAAGGGATGTTAAGCTATCAGATCTGGCAAATACTCTCTCACTGGAGTGGAAGTAGAAGACTGAGCATGACTAGGCACAGGTGAAGTAAAAGGTGACTGTTGGACTGGTGAATTATGCCTAACCCTCCTTCGTCTGGTAACCGGTGGGAGTGAAACAAACATTGGTTGTCCCCTGACAAGATCTCCAGATCTGTAAAGTCGCCTCACACGGGTCCAGAGTGCTTGGGGGTAATAGAATCGTACAAAGCAATGGTGAAAAACCACCTTGCAAAAATAAATAAAGCAAAAGAAAACAAAAATCAGAAACCGCACAGCACCTCGGCTTAGAAACTAACAACACGTTGTTGCAACCAAAAGCTGTAGAACTGTACTCGACACTGATTTCTACCCCCAAAACTAATACCTACACTTGTAACTAATACATACATTCTTGTAGAGTTTCACTCTAAAAGCACATACCAGTTAAGTGAGAACCAAAACGCCTCTATGAGGGGGTAGGGTTACCTTGTCCTAGTTTCGTCAGGAACTAGGGTTAACTATTCAAGCAAAGTGCTTCACTGGCACGAGTCAGGGTTTTCTAAATTTCCTAAAACAAAATATTTAGATGACGACTCTGAAATCTGGCAAAGTAGTCCATGTTTGGCACTTCTTGATTAAAATCAGTTTTCCAAAACGATTTTCCGAATTTGGACTCTTTGGTGATTTATCAGTCTTACATTGCACTTTGTGAGATTAGATTCAGAACCGTGACAGGAGTCCGAATTGTAGTAGCTAGAACAACGATTCGCTCCTTCCTGCGCGGAGCGGAGTTCGGGCGGTCTACACCTTGCCTGAAAATCTTCCGAGCTAACATTACTCCATTCATGTGCGCTCTGCACTCTCCTCCATGGATAGCCTCTATTAGGCGCTTTGACTCATCTACTTCAACACATAACTTGTGCATTCCCAAATGACCCCTCTTGTACAATTTACCTCCACAGATGATAAATTGAACGGCCATCCGCTGTATTGCCCTCTTATCTTTCGCATTTGCCCTTGGGGGATAAACCTCTTTTTCCAAGAAGTTTCAGATATCATAGTACCAAGGGTTTTGATCTTGAACTTCATCTATTGCGGCGATAGTCTAGTAGGCCAGGGTATATCTTTGCTCAATGATGATCGGACGCATCCGGACTTGAAGCGGAATGTCTATCATAGAAGATAGAGTTGATAAGGCGTCAGCAAACCTGTTGTTCTCTCTTAGTAGATGCGTGAAGGTTAGCTTCTCAAACCTAGGAATCAGAACATCCAAGGTCTGGTGACAGATCTTCATCTTTTCCTCTTTAACCTTCTAGTCTCCTTTTGCTTGAGACACAACTAGGTTCGAGTCCCCGATTACGTCCAACCTTTTTGCCCCTAGTTCCAGGCCGGCTTCCAAACCAGCGATACATTCCTAATATTCTACTTCGTTATTGGATACTTTGAATCGGAGTTTAAAGGCTAAGGATATATGGGAATTGTTGGGTGCTATAAGCAGCACCCCTATTCCATAACCGTACTGATTAGACGCTTCGTCAAAGCACATTGTCCAAATCTCTTCCTCGACTTGCAAAATTGCTTCATCTGGGAACATGAATTCTACCGCTTCATCCCCTTCCACTAGGTGATCAGCCAAGAACTCAGCTACCTTTCTCCCTTTGACAGACTTGCGAGTAACATACTTTAGATCAAATTCGGAAATGAGAAGCAACCAATAGGCTAGCCTACCCGTAAGCGCTGGTTTCTCAAAGAGATATTTGATGGGATCTAATCTCGAAACCAGAATTACAGAGTGAGGTAACAAGTAGTACCTCAACTTCCTGGTTGCCCATACCAAGGCTAAACAAGCTTTCTCTAGCGAGGTGTAACGGGTCTTATAATCTAGCATTTTCTTGCTCAAGTAATAGATGACTTTCTCCACCTTATCCTCAGATTCTTAAGCAAGCATGCATCCCATCGTTGTGTCCATTACTGATAGATACAAAATCAACGGCTTTCTCGGCTCTGGTAGCGACAAAACGGGTGGATTCTGAAGGTACTGCTTGATCTGCTCGAAAGTGAATTGACATCGGAACTTCTTTCCTTTCTTCAAGAGACCAAAAAGTGGTTCACAAGTTAAGGTTAATTTAGAGATAAATTGTCTTATGAATTGCACTTTACCCAGAAAGCCTTGCACCTCCTTTTCAGCACTAGGTGGTGACATTTCTAGGATGGCCTTGATTTTGAAAGGATCTACCTCGATGCCCCTCTGTGTAATCAAGAAACCCACCATTTTTCCTACTGTTACGCCGAATGTACACTTTTGTGGATTTAACCTCGGTCTGTATTCTCTGATCCATTGAAAGAATTTTTTCAAGGCGGTGTAGTGGCCCTCTCTTTATTTGGACTTGATAATCATGTCATCCACATACACCTCGACCTCTTTATGGATCATATCATGTAGAATTGTGGTTGCAACCCGTTGATAGGTAGCCTCGACATTTTTCAACCCAAACGGCGTTACTCTGTAGCAGTAGGTTCCCCACGGCATAGTGAAAGTAGTTTTCTCTTTGTCCTCGGGTGCCATCAAAATCTGGTTATACCCGGAAAATCCATCCATGAAGGAGAGCAATGCATGACCCGTGGTGAAGTCCACCAATTCATCGATGTGCGGTAGAGAAAAGTCGTCCTTCGAATTGGATCTATTCAGATCCCTGAAATCCACACACACCCGAATTCTACCATCTTTCTTTGGCACTAGGACAATGTTGGCCAACCAAGTTTGATACTCAGATACTAAGAACAACCCTGCGTCTATCTG